CAGGCTTTACAAGTATTGTTTCCCTAGCCTCTTCAAGCTTTACAAATGATAGATAGATGATTTGGTTTGAGTGTTTGGTTTACTCTCACAGAGAGGATACAAGAATTTTCTACACTGACTAAGGTGCATGTTCCTAAGTTACACTTAAAACTCTTTAGTCTACAAAGATAAATACACTATAGTACATTTGACTCTATAAGCTCTGTCTTTGGTTTCATTACTTCATGGGCTTGATATCACTATTTTTCAATGCCAGCCTTTCAAGGTTTGAAGTTATGACATATATATAGTCTTGTAAAATTTTCGCGTTGCAAATGTCCGTTGAAGTAGAATATAATCGTTCATGACTAGTTCGATCTTCTCATTTAATGCATTAGATCTTGCATTAAATGTTGCTTCCTGTTTATAGGCAATGTGTGAAGTCTTCTTCATTTTGTTAGCAGCAGTGTTTGACTTTATCTGAGACCTAGGTGCTTTTTGTCCTTTTTCAGTCGCGTAGCTGTAGAGCGTTGTCTTTATTTGAAAAAGTGATGTACTTTTTCTAACACATGCATTATTTTGCTTTTGACTTGCTTTTCTTCTTCTTTGTCTTTTCCTTTAATCATGCGATCATGTTGAGAGCTTTTGTATGATCGTAGATGATGCCTGAGTTGTCTTTTGAGACTTGATTCTTCAAATTCTCTCATGGCAGTCTTTGTCTACATCTGATAGTCAATATGCATCTCAAGTCTTGATCTTCGTCTGAGCATTTTTCATTAATGCTTTTGACTTCCTTTGGTCTGGTTAACATTGTAAATGGACAAACTTTCTTTTCATCTAGAATACTTTTCAGTCTGTGTTGTTCTTCGTCTGATATTTAGTTGACTTTCTTCTAATCTTTTACCAACCTTCGTATGATATTTGATTTATCATCGTCTGGTGCTCATGTCTTATTTTATCTATCATTTGACTTGCTTTGTCTGATCCTCTTGATGTGCTTTGCTTTGTCTCATCTTTGTTTGGTTGACCATTAAGCTTCATCTGCTGTCATTCGTCTATTTAGACTTCATCCGGTGCTTAACCACTTTTGTCTTGTTCTTGATTTAGCCTTGATTGATACTTGTTTTGGCCTTTCCGTCTGATGCTTGAAGCTTTCCTTTTTTTCTTGGTTTTGGTGTAGGAAGTGGCACGTGCTCTATTCTAGATACGGTGCTGCTTTACAATCTGTTCTAATCAAAAATCTTTTTAAAAATAAATCATCTTGAAATTTTTGAAGAGATAAAACTATTGATAAAATTTCTTTTTTGACTGTTGAATACTTTTGCTGAGTTGGATGCCAAATACCTGAGTGATATCTGACAACTTGTTCTTTTGATAATACTTTTTGCTTTAAAATTCCCCCATATCCTAAGTTTGAGGCATCTGTCTCGACAATAAGATAGGCATCTGGGTCAGGAATCCCTAAACAGGGTAATTTTTTGACTATTTGTTTAATTTTAATGATAACTTGGGTCATTTCTGGGTCCCATGGTTTTGGATTCTTTCTAAGTCTTGTATATAATGGGGCACAAATAACTCGAATATTGGGAATAAAGTCTGCGACATAATTGACACAACCTAAAAATCTCTGAAGTTGATTCTTATCTTTTATTTCATTTGGAAACTTATCGATTGTGTGATTGTAAACCTTCTTACATAAAGATAGTGGACAAATCTTGATTAGGTTTCATTGAGGATTGGATGTAGGTCACATGTGGAGTGGCTAAACCAATATAAATCTCTTTGCACTTTTCTCTATTGACCAAACTTTTGTGAAATATTGAATCTATGTGATCTTCATGGAGTGTTTTCTTTGTGAAAGTTTGAAAAACCAAGAAGTAAAAACAATTTGTGAAAAATGTTTTGAAGATCTCATCATCATCACTACTATCTTGAAGAAAGGATAAAAATTTGTCTTAAATTCACATTCTGATTTGTTCAGCATGCCAAGTGAATTTGTTCCTTACTTTTTTTTTGTGTGTAAAAGTAGTAAAATCTTGAGTAGGTTTCTCAAGTATGGTAAATCTTGAGTAGGTTTCTCAAGTGTGGTAACTTTTGTAGTGGGTGACTACAAGAAGTGTTTTCTTAGGTTCAAGAAAAGTGATATCTTGTATGTAGAAGTAAGTTGTATATGTGTTGTGTGATTGTAAACCTTCTTACATAAAGATAGTGGACAAATCTTGATTAGGTTTCATTGAGGATTGGATGTAGGTCACATGTGGAGTGGCTAAACCAATATAAATCTCTTTGCACTTTTCTCTATCCTTACTATTTTTACTTGTGTAATCTTTGATTAATATCTTGACTTGATTTAATATGTTTGTATATGACTCGTGACCTTGTAAGATTATGATTTTAATTGAAATATAATCTATGCATTATACAAAGTTAAGATTCAAAAGATTAAAGAAAGGTTAGAAGTGCATATAGGTGCATATCCTATATAACAAGAACTCAATATACTTCAATTGGAAGGTATTTTAGAAATGTTTTTCAAATAAAGATCCAGAACTCTAATTAAATTTTGAAAAATCCAATTCACCCCCTTCTTGGATTCAACCATCTTTTCTAATAGAGGTAGGGGGAGTAAGTAATCTCGCCTTAGGCGTAAGATGTATATTGGGTATTTTTGGAACCCGAAAGATTCCAACCTTACACACAAATGGTTTGAACTTCCATTTTGA